TTTTATTTTTTTCTTTGGGTTGAATTTTGTGTGTGTGTTGGTTTAAGAAGGTTTGAGAAGGGTTTTATATGAATGGGGGATGAGAGGAGTTTGGTAAGCGTGGAGGAAAATGAATGGTTGTTTCTTTATTTATTTATTTTTCTTATAGAAAAAGTGATTTAATTGATTTAATTTGTTGGAATTTAAAAGGTTAATTTGGGGAACATATGGAAGGTGAGAAGGAAAGGGGGGAGAGTATCAAATTACAAGATATTTGCCTAATTGTAAAGGCAATCTGCAGACAGTCCAGCTATTAAAGTGAAATCAATATATTGTGGATCGCCTAAAATATCGTCACAAAATTGTCAGGCTGTAGGCCGTGACTATGGTTGTAAACTAATCGAATCAGAGCGAATATCAAGTTATTCGATTAGACTTCGTTAAAATATTCGAAGATTCGAATTCGTATTCGATTTGTTAATCAATTCATTTTTTTGATTTGTATTTGATTCATTCGTTTAGAATATTCGAACATATTCGTTTCAATTCGAAATTCGTGTTCAAAAAATTATTATAATTTAAAATATTATAATTACAAAAAATAATTTTTATTTTTCCATATATTTTTAGAAAAAAATGTTAATTTACAATGTTTTTACTTTTTATGTAATAAAAATATTATGAATATAACAATATATATCTATACACATATGTTATAAACAAAATGTTTACTATATATAGTTTATAAAATTTATATAATTATTATTAATGAATCGGATATTCGAATTTCGAATCGGATATCTACAAATTTGAATTTGGATTCGTTTAACTTTCGAATGTTTTAATATGTACAAATTCGAATTTGGATTCGTTTAACTTTCGAATATAAAATATTATTCGTATTCGAATTCGAATTCACATCACGAATATCGAATCGAATCAAAAAAATTTGATTTATTTACAAGTCTAGCCGTAATTGTTGGACGAATCGATTTTTGATTATACATATATTAGTAACAAATATATATATGTATAATTCGAAGTGCTATACAATTATATACTTTTTTTTTTTCTCAAAACGTTCAAAAATGATTAATATTTTTGTATTTGTTTTTCATTAAATGATCTTAACCTAGAAGCTGAATTTTAATTTGGAAAATGAATATAAGAATTCGTGATTTAAATGTTGCTTTTTTTTTTTAATTGATTGCAGTTTGAAGATGAAATTTTTGTTACAGCCGTATGAATATCCGCCGACAGTTGGAGATAATAGAAAACCGAAACTAGAAAATATGTGGACTATTAAAATGAGTTAGGAAATAGATTGGGTCCACGTCTTTTTTTTTTTATTTTTTTCATGAAATATTGGGTCCACGTTTGGGTAAGGCATTTAAGGGAGTATTGTCTTGAGATGTGTGTTACAAATATTTAAAATTCAATTTCAAATAGGGACAAGACAACACAATAGTAAATGTCTAAGATTTAATTTTAACATAGAGTATATGGTACCAAGTTACACGTGCAATTGGCTTGGTCAAAAGTCCAAACCATCAAAATCTTGGTTTTGCAACTTGAATGAGTAAAGGGGTTTATTGATTTCTTGATTTAAACCCCAACCCATGTACAAATTTCATGTGGTAGATGTAGCAATTTTGTTTTTTATTGTTAGAAAGTTTACATTTTAAGGAAAAACAAATAATAATTTACATTACTAATTGTCTTAAAGACCATGTATGTATAGTTAAGAGTAGGGCTGGTAATTTTGTACCGAAAACCGAACTGAACCGACAAGAAAAAAAAAACGAATCGAACTGTACCGCTTGTAAGTTGTAACGGTAACCGACAATCGGTTACCGAAATGCTATTGGTTCGGTATCGGTTCCGAACCCATAAAAGTTCGGTAAAACCGAACCGAACCGATAAGGATAAAAAAAAAATAACCTAAGTATATAACTATATAAAGGATCAACTTTTATATTTATTTAAAAAAATATGGCTCACTTTTCAAATAATAATTAGGGCTCAGTTTTTAAATAATAGTTAGGACACAATTTTGTAAAAAAAATAAAAAAAGTGAAAGTAAGTTTAAAATCAAAATTCCCCACTCAATACTCAAATATCTTTATTGAAGTGCAGCTTGCTGGGCCATGAGGCTTGCTTATTTGCTTACTGTGAACATACAGGGAACATGGAACACAATGAACAGGGCATCAAGTATTTGTACTTACTTGGGGCTGATATTTTGGTTTTTTGGGTAACCGAAAATTCGGTTACCGACTACAATCGGTTCGGTTTCGATTTCACATTTTATTATTACCGAAAATGTCGGTTCGGTATCAGTTTGGGCTTATCAGTTCGGTTACCGAACCGATACCAGCCCTGATTAAGAGCATAGTCTAATGAAAAATTATGTGGCTTGAATTTTAAGATAATACGACTTTTTACACAATTATTATGTGAATGTATAAGTACTAAGCACAAACTTCACCACACACACACTCTTTATTAATGAAAAACACCGTAATCGTGCAAACTGGTCGATTTTGATGGAAGACATGATCTTATCGGCGCGATTATTTGAATCGTCGAATTATATGTAATAATATACAATATACAATTTACAGGTATGTATTGATCTATCGACTTAAACTCGGGTATATGGAATTACCGATTTTCAGAAAACTAACACTTGAAAAAAGTAAAACAAATAAATATAATAATAGATCAAATCAAAGTACGATTTTGTACAATATCATGAGCACAAACATTGAATTGTTTAGGGCCCATATATAATCTTCCCCATACAGCCTGTATTTAACAATTATAAAACTAGGTTCATATATTGAGGCCATATAATATATACACAGAATCTTGTATGATTAGATTTCTTTTTATTTTTCAATTTTTTTTTTTTTTCTGAATATATGCACCGAATAATTGAATAATAAATACAAATACAGTGTGTCTTATCATCTATCTTTAATTCAACATTCAGTGCACGAGCACACCCCGCAAGTGTCGGTCGTTTATAAATTTTAAGTCGATGTATACAGATGTCATACTATAATTAAGAGAATTAAAATAAAATAAACAAATATAATTATGAATATATTCACCACACTAGAAGATAAAATAAATTAAATAAATATAATTACGATATATAGTCAGCTAATTTAATCAACTTTCGGTGGTAAGTTCGGTATATCAGCTCAATAGTGAGTTCAACAATTGGTGGAATTAGTTCGAACTATGGTTTTTAGGATGTGTAGTAATGTTCGAGGCAGTAATTGTTGGATATTTGGTGTCAAAATTACACGGGAATCCTACGAACTGATATGTATTTCCAGTTCTTACAAATAATCTAAAAAATAGAAAATTACAATTGAAGTGAAAAATAAAATACAACTGAAAACGGAAAGATTTTATAGCCGAGGCGAGTAAAACTCTTTCCGCAAGAAGAATACGCCCCGTGTGGCAGCTAACGGTTCAGGCGTAACTTCCCCAAAGATACAACGGCAAACGTCTCTAAATCTGTAGCACACCAGATTTACGAGCTCCGGCGAACTTTAACAGAGTTGAGAATTGAGCACTAAAAATAAAAAGATATATCATAAAACAAATAAAAATATTATTTGTTTCTTTTCTTTTGATATTTTTATGTCCGATAATTAGACATAAATCTATCTTTTCTATCCCTTTTTATTTTCTCCCTCTTTTCCTCTTTTTTCTATTTTCTCTCTCTTTCTTTCCTTTTTCTCCTTTTCAGCCGTTCCAAAATGTTTCTGTACTCCATCATCTTAATTCCCACATAACATGTATTAATACACATGATAAGGAATAATTGGGTGAAAATGGTTTGCCTAACCATTATATAAATATAGTTGACTAAATAAACAAATTAGAGTAGAGAATAAGAATCAAGTAAGTAGAGGAATAAGAATCAAGTTGGAAGAATATTAGTTAAGAACATTAATTTATCACTCAATAATTCTAACAGTAATAAACTAATAAGTTTCTAGATCCGTGTTTTGGGCCGTGGCCCGTGGGCTGTGGGTCTGCTTATTTGAGTGGCTGCCTTGGGTATTGGCTTGTGTTTGGGAAATTCAGAGAGACTTATTAGCTTGTGGAGAGAACTTTATTCTAATTATTAGGCTTTAAGGTTCTTTATTTTTGTGAGTAGTGTGTTTGTGGACTTTAGTTTGTTTAGTGGTGTTTTGTCCTTGTTGCTCCTCTTTAGGAGTGTCAAGTGTGTATATATATTATCCCACTCGGGAGTTGTATTCTCCACTCGTGTGAGTTTTT